AGACAGACAAGAAGGGTATACAAAAGAAACAAGCAGAAGAAAAGAAGAAAAGCAAGGGAAAGCAAGACAGATGGAATAAAGGCACAGAAAAATCAGTCTGAAGTGTGAATATGCTTGTGAGTTCTATCTGCTTGTCTCATGTCAAACTTAAAAAAATCTTCCATTCAGGAACATTCTACAGCCACATTTCAAAATCTCACTGCCTGTGTCACTGAGGTGAGACAGAATAAACAACAATGGGGGGCACCTGCATCAAGGCCCTATATCAGCTGGAGTAAATGGGGGGGGGGGCACAGATCTCACCTCATCTGGCACCCCAGAGTTGTGTGTCAGCTTGTTTCCATCCGTGATGGTAATGATCACAGATGGCTCCAGGAAGAAGGGGTTCCGTCCCTAGGGAGAGCATAGCAGCAGGTGTTGGGGGGGGGGGGGTGTTATCAGATAAGCAACCAACGGCAATAGTGAAAACCGACACCAAGAACACGAGGCTGCGCAGTCTCATCGACATTTCAGCCTCGAGCTTTAAAACCTGCAAAAACTAGAGGGACTCATGACTGCACAAGACACAAGTGAGCCTGCCACACTAAGCATGGGCGTGGTCAGTGCATGGGCGGGGTCAGTGCATGGGCGGGGCCAGTGCATGGGCGGGGCCAGTGCATGGGCGGGGCCAGTGCATGGGCGGGGCCAGTGCATGGGCGGGGCCAGTGCATGGGCGTGGTCAGTGCATGGGCGGGGTCAGTGCCTGGGCGGGGCCAGTGCATGGGCGTGGTCAGTGCCTGGGCGGGGCCAGTGCATGGGCGGGGTCAGTGCATGGGCGGGGCCAGTGCATGGGCGGGGCCAGTGCCTGGGCGGGGCCAGTGCCTGGGCGGGGCCAGTGCATGGGCGGGGCCTGCGCGCCTACCTGCCCATAGTTGTCGATGCCAGAGACAAGGCGGTTGAGGTTGAGCAGGTCAAAGCCGGTGCGGAGAGCCTGGCCCAGAGTGGTCAGGCCAGAGGCCTGAAGGTTCTTCAGCTCGCTCATGAAGGTAGCATGGTTCTCCTTCCACCCCGCCTGCAGCACACAGGGCACACAGACAGGGGGCATTAAACACACAAGGGCACAGCTGGGGTCGCATTACAGATACAGGAAAAAAAGAAAACATAGACAAAGCACATTATAGAAACTCCAGTCGCTGAATGACTCCATACTGAAGCAGGAAGGTATGATTTGTTCAGGGCATATGTGTGGTAAGGGTGAGGCAGGGCTGCACTTGGCCCTGGACCTTTACTTTTACCCACGCACCAACATTCCCAGCCTCCGCCTCCATCTGTTCACATTTTTAATACCAGCCCCCCTTCCCAAAGCTCGGACAGGAACTCATATCCCACTGACTCAGAGTCACTGTATTATCCCACTGTCTCAACTGTAACAGGATAATCCCAATACTTAATCATCACAATCCCAATACTTCAATGTCACTGGATCATCTCACTGTCTCAATTTCATTAGATTGCATCAATACCTCAGTGTCATTGGATTTTCTCACTGTCTGAGGATTATATCTGGATTATCTCACTGAGACAGGATTATCCCACTGTCTCACCATCAAAGAAATATCCCACTGTCTCACTAAAACAGGATTAAAATAACAGAATATAATAAAACCAAGATACTTTATTCATCCCCAAGGGGACTTTGCCTTTTCACCTAACCTCATCTTGTTCTCCATGAGACACACAGACAGGTGAGAGCAAGCTTGAAGGTCACAGTGCAAGTCAGTCAGCATGCAGCCCCCCTGGAGCTGGGAGTAAAGGGTCTTTAGACCGTCCAATCACACAGACAGGCACAGAGGCTAAGCCCACTGAGCCACACAGCACCCCCTAATACCTAATCATCACTGGATTATCCCACTGCCCCAATGTCACTGGAATATCTCACTATGACATGATTATCCCACTGCCTCACCCTCACAGGACTATCCTACTACCTCACTGTCAGATGATCATCCCAGCCCACTGTATCAGTGTTGCAGCATTACCTCACTGTATTACTAGCACAGGGCTATCTCACCGTGCTGCTGTTACAGCATTACATCACCGTGTCACAGTGTCCGGATTACATTTACTCTAACCTACAGGCGTACATCCACAGCATTAGACGGATGCAAGAGGGGGAGGGAGGGAGGGAAATAATGAGAGACAGAGAAAGAGAGAGATAGAGAGAGAGAGAGAGAGAGAGAGAGAGAGAGAGAGAGAAAGAGATAATAGTACAGACAGGGTTATCTTTTCAGAACACCAGTGGGGTGTTTGTGGTTCTGCATCACCGTTGGGGACGAGGAGGCTGCACATGTGTAAAGCCGTAAAAGACACACAGACAGGCAGGCAGAAGTAGGGGGGCACATGTGCTGGAACCCCAGGGTGGCCTGGGAGAAGCATTTGTGAGGTGACAGAGGCGCATGGCAGACGGTGGCGCTCGCTCTGAATTATTCAGCGACAATGGACTGATTTAGCTTTTCTGTTCACATCCGCCTTTCTTTCCTTGTGCATTAAGAATTCATCGCATCCGCATGGGGCTGACTGTGGCCGCTGTCCACGCTCCCACACCGGCGGGGAGAGAGGGCACAGGGCGGGACGCGGACTGGAGGGGGAAGGACGGAGGATGGAGGGAAGGGAGACACGGGAGGAGGGAACGAGAAGCAGTATGTCATGCTGTGCCAAACGCTGCTGTGAGGTCAGCCCCCTCTGGTAGCAGGTGTGGAGGGGGCGTGGCAAGCAGGTGTGACAGACAGCCTGACACAATGTCATTGCACTGCCCTCCTAATGTCACTTCTGCCCTCTAGAGGACCTGCAGCGGAGGAACGGTCACCAACACACACCCAAGTCAATAAAGTCCTTTAGCTCATAATTAAGTCCCCAGACCAGTTCTGCGGCTGCGTCATTTGGACTCTTTATTTGCACGGTTTAAGCTGAGATGGAACCAGTCACCCAAAGCCATGTAAGTGTGACAGTTTTTCAGCGCACCCCCCCCCCCAACATCAAGTCAGTCACTGCAATCAGCCCTACCTCATAAAAGACCCCTGCCACAAGTACAGTATTAAAGAGAACTTAAAAAAAAAAACAAAAACGAAAGTGCACTTCAGCCTGAACTTATCTGTGAAGAATGAGGAAAGAAAACTACTGCAACATAGACAGCGAGGAGAGAGGCGCCACAGAAAGGCTGTTAGGTAACAGCATATAACAGCCATACTGGAGGACGGCAGCGGAAACAGGGCGGCTGTGTAAACCTGCCAGAAAGCCAAGCTGTTTATGTACTGAAGTAAATCACATTTAAGTTTAACTTGGTGAAATGAGCTTCAAACTACTAACATTTATGCACACTACAGACCAATGATCACCATTCCATTTACACCCTACAGATCTGTGATTATTGCTCCTTATAAACCCTAAAGACCTGAAATTATCACCTCTTATATACCATCCAAACCTGTGATTTTTTTCTCCTTATACACCCTACATACCTGAAATGATCACCTCTTATATACCCTCCAAAACTGTGATTATTTCTCCTTATACACTCTACATACCTGTAATTATCACCTCTTATATACCCTCCAATGCTGTGGCTGTCAGTTCATATATTCCCTACAGACATAGGAGTCCTTTCAGTTAATGACTCTTCGATGTAAAAGTGTCTTTCCTCATGCCTCATGCCCCCATGCCTTTTCATCATAAGCATTACAAACCCATTCCATTCTCTAGTCACCCCCCACTCCCAGTAGTAAATCTGCTGGCTTTATTTCCTTCTCATATCAATGCAAACCGATGTAAGTAAAACAGAGAACCTACATGATCGTGTCACGTGGCAAACAAGACTTCAGGCCGGAAACATGCAGAGACAGGAAGGTGGAGCTGACTGCTGCTTCATGAAAGTCTGCCCCGACCTGCTGGATCCATGGTACGGGTGTCTCAGCTGTCTGCCTGTGCTCCACAACCCCCCACTACCCTGATTCAGGGCCAGCGATCACAGCAGGGAACGAGAATGATGATTACAGCCCCAAAAGCAGGGCACGGCGAGCGAAAGAGACACATGCCCATCGGGGGGCCATCAGACTTCTGGCAGAGCCGACTGGCAAGGCAAAGGACGGCTTCAGAATAACTGACAGGGGAAAAGAAGAAGCTGGCTATGGAAACGGGTTAGAAGGGAAGCCGGCGCGGGACAAGGAAAGGGAACAGAGCAGCTGGAATTCAGGGGTATGTGAGGGTGCCTGCGAGGGGGGCAGTCATGGTGGGGGTGCTGCGGGGGCTGAAGGGGCAACAACAGGAGCATCTGCACTTTCATACTTGAAGAAATACAGTATTGTCTGTTTTATAGAAAAAGCTTTCTGCCCATATTATTTACTGTACCACTGTACTATTCTTACTATTCTATGATTCTATTTTAAATTCACTGCAGCAGCTCTAGGAGAAACAAGACACATTTTGTTATATGTGAAGCTCTGTCTGCCATAATGACAATAAAGTTGAAATGGGTTCAATTCAGATTAAAGCTCCTCTAAGCCACTGAAAAAAAAACACCGAGCCACAAATGTGGCCTGGCTCCCTGGGGGACATGTCACATGCCCCCCCCCCCCAGCTACAGAGGGGGGCAGAGGCTTGGACTACTGACTGGGTTAAGATAAGGGAGATCCCCGCGACCATCCCTGTTACCATCCCACCTGCCATGTAACATCCCCATCGGCGCCCGTTGACACAGGCGTGCTGCATGACAGCGGCAGTAGGCCACACTGGCGTGCATGCGGCATCGCAGCTGTGGCAAGGTGAAGCCCTAAATGTGCAGCACTGGAAAAAGCACGTGGGACCAGCAAGCAGTTCTTCTTATGCACAAGGATGGCTTCTGCCATATGCATTTTACAGTGTATTACACAAACAGACACACCGGCATCCCCCCCCCCCCAACATGCACTGCTGAGTCTGCAGACATATGACACCACAGTGGCCGCAGGGGAGCCAAATCATGTCATACAGTAATGCAAGATTAGTAAACACGGCTCTCCTCATACTGTAAGGGGGGGGGGGGGGGGCGTCGAGACTCTGTATGCAAGAAACACACTTGCCAGTATCTTCAACAAGCAGCCCAGGAGTTTAGGAAATGGGTTTGTCTCCAGAATGTTGCAGTTTGGCATCCAAGGTCTGGACATACATTTATGACTGAAGTATTTTGAATACAAGTGCATCAACTGGAGAAACCTCAATTCTGAACCAGACCAACTTACACTTCACTGACCCACAGGGGTCCGAAAAGTGTGCTTCTCAAAGGAACAACTGCATGTTGGCAAAAAAAATATATATATATATATATATATTAACCAATCAGAGATGGGAGTATAAAGTTATGACTGCCCTCCAGTAAAAGGCACTGGGGTCCTGACTTTAACAGCATACTGGAGTTTGAATGGGCACCTTGCCCACTGTGAAGCCCGACAAAGGCCTTGCTCAAATGCACGGAGCTCGTCTCCATCCTGTGCCATGCACGCTTATGTATGCTTCACAGGGTAATGGCTACGGTCCGTTTCTATAAAACCTGGCTTTGTTAATATACAGCCTGTCCCAAATCAGGCTCCACTAACAATCCTTGGTAAGGCACAGAATGCCTTGACTTTCTCAACTTCTGGCAGCATCATAAATTACTTTCTAAGACCTGCTGGATGGTTCTCTTTCATAAACTGAAAGTATTGCATACAGAGGACAGTGGGAGGGATTGGGTGTGTGGGTGTTTGTCTGTATGTGTGCTGGTATTGGGGGACAGGAAATAGATTGTTTACATGGGCACTTAGTTTTTAAAAGATAAAACCAAAAAGAAAATTATAAAAATTACAACTTGTGTGGGAAAATAAAGGTTATTAAGGAAATATCTTCCTACATTTTCTCACACAGAGGGGGGAGACAAGTTTGATTAGCCCAGTCTGCGTCGGCCAATGAGAGCGACTTTAAGGAAGCCACTAAGCGGATGCGAAAGAAGAAAATAGGACGAGATGCAGGGCAGTTGTCCAATCCGGGACGAGCTAGTCCGCCATTGCGTCACACGTGACGTCAGTGTCGATCATAAATCTCCCCGCCTCCATCTAAGCGTTCGAGAGCTCAGCTAGTACAAAAGCAAAATGTCCGCCATGTTCCGAGGCTGCGCTGCTCCGGGTCTGCGGGTATTTTAACAAAAATTAGTCGTTTTCAACGCCGGGAGGCCGCCCAAACCCGCAGCTACGAACCAGAGGGACAGTAGAGTCTCACTGTCAGAAAACATCTCGCCTCAACCACATCAAAACACAATTTAACAGTATTTATTTACCTTAACTCCGTATGGTGGCTCATCAAATGTAACTAGCATGTACCTGTCGCCTCTACTAGCCGGGTCTCGGGCGCGCAGCTGTTAAAGAAAACGAAACAATACACGTTATTTTCGACTAATTCGACTCTCAGTTCCAACAAGGCAACATAATATACTGAGAAGTCGGGGTAAAATTACTCTTTACCTTCATAAAGATCTCAACCGCGCCTTTAGCAATGTCCAGATACGTCGTACCCAAATAAGTGCGCTGATTCATAGAAGCGGACGTGTCTATCAGGAAAAGTAAAATAGGCATTTTTGAAATACAGAGATATAACTATATGCTTACTAAAAAAAGACAATGTCAACATAGGACCTATCTTGCGGCCTGGGCGTGTATATGTGTGTATATATATTTGTTTTAATCGCACCCCCCTCAAAAGAGGGTCGTACAGCCACCCCTTACTGCCGCCTGACTCTATCTGTCTTTACTGAGCGGTGCTCAGGCTCGCGCTGATAGAGAACTTCTCTTCCGAACAAACTGAACCGCCCTCTTTCCACTGTCACCATGCCATTGGCTGAGTCCGCCCGCTGTAACCACGCCCACAATAATATGTAATAAGGTTGGTGAGAGCTCCGCCCCTTTCTGCATAATAAGTACAGGAAGACGGATAAAGGAAAATCTGCCAGGCACTTTAAACTGGGTGGCCTTGGCATAAAATTATTATTGTTTCGCCTTTATTGCGATGGCGGTGTGTATATATAACTCTGGTGAATAGGTAAACAGAAGCGGCACGCGATTCGTGCGTTATATGAACATCATAAAGCCCCCCACCCTTCGTGTTCTTTTCCAGTGTTGTATAGGGGGTGGGGATTTGGTCTTTGATACAGTTATTGAAATATTTCACACAGCGTTACGCTCCATCGATTGTTGAAAGATACACGACGCATCGATGCGTTACAATGTAACTGCTACAGTGTGTGGGTAGACTTGTTATGTGTGGGAAATACGCTGTGGAAACAGGGATCCCCGGTCGGAAATTTTGATAACCATATCTGGAAGGACTGGACACACTTGCTCGTGTCATGACTTCGTAAAAGTATACAGAGGGCGGGACATACCTTGCAAGTAAGTCATGGGGATAATATTGCGGTAGGCTGACGGCTGAAGAATTAATTGTGTATGTGCAAGACTGTGAGGTGCACTCTGTTTACTCAGCTGTACCTCTTCTGACAACTCTCTCTTCATAGCCCCTCTGATAAGGTCAGGTCGCTGGCGATTAAACATCCTATGCGGTAAAAAAAAAAAAAAAAAAAAACCTGGACTGACATAATGCCAAATTGTAATAAAAATATTTAATCGCTCCCTGGAGATATTGTTTATGACAAACATACATTGTAAAATGCACGTATGAGGAGAAAGGAGCACATAATCTGAATATACATCAGAGTACAAACAGAAGAGTTAATTTTCTTGTAGTGTTTGTGCAAAGACGGATCAATATGTGCCAGTCACTCTGGTATTGTTAAGTATAGGCCTACATAACATGTGAAATTTGAATGATTTTCTGCGATACAAAAACAAAAAAACACCTATCTTAATTACCCTTACCTTCCTATAGTTACGGGGGCTGCCACACTTTCCCATGTGCCCTGCACTGATGGCTATAAGAACATTTCCTCAACGTAACATCAAAGTTGTTCATTCGACTGGAAAAGGGCCATGTTACTTTAGCTATCAAAAGTTCTCTCTATCTTTGTCTCTCTTACCCCGCCCCCCAACACACACACTCATACAATTATATATATATATATATATATATATATATATATATATATATATATATTTGTCGCTCCTAAAAGAAGTGTAGCAACTCATTATGAGAATTAATCCCAAACACCGTGATCCTGACTGCATCATCATAACACTGATGGCTCTTCACAAAGCTGATGCTATCGTTCATTTCCCATATATATATGAAATTTAAAAGCCAAGCTTTCTGGAAACCGTTACAGAGTCGTTTGTATTTTTTACGCCTTCCCGCGAAATAAAATTGTCCATTAGCACACCACTGGTCAACATACATTTTATGTTTATTTTCTCCAATATGCAGCCATCTTGACAGCAGAGGCTATGTTTGACACATTGCAGATGTTCAAGGGACGGCCAAGCGTAAGGCAGTGAAGGGTTTGTTTTCTTGCCACATGAAATAAACGCAAGTACTATATGTAAAGAAATCTATCATGAACACAACGCCCTGTTAAACTAATAACATACCAAATAATAATATAGCAAACCACAATAATCTAAAGCGCAGCAAATGGGAATTATATGTGGAGGAAAATAGTGATGGGGACAGGCCACATAACATTATGCAGTTTTCATAGGTCTATTTCATAATGTCTCACACTATCCGAGGGATATATTTTATTGTTAGATGCTTAATGTCACATCTTGGAAGCAGGGTGTAGATTTTGAACGATAACTGTTTTTCTTTTGAAAGCAAAAATGCAAAGCGCGCTAACATATTTGTAAAGGCAGATAGCGAGAAAGAGAGAAATTATTGTCATTCACGATTCAGAACCTAAAACCAAACAGGTGTCGTTGTCTTAGCTGCCACTTTTGCAATCCACATGTTTTGTCTAATGAATAAGTGCATGGTGAAATAGCCACAGCAAGTCACAGTTTGTAACTTTAATGTGCTGACTATACCCTCGCGAAGTTCACTCTGCTTTCATGACTGTTACACCTGTGTTTAATCGAGATGAACCGAATTCCAGACTGGAGGAAAACACAGTTTACGTTTTAGTTAGAAAAATCATTACGTCACTGGTTGGCCGTGGAGGAATTCCCGAGACCCTCCACTATCCCAGCATCCACCGTGCTGAACTGCAGAGCATTGACAAAGAAAATAACAGCAGGGTGGGATTTACCACAGTACCTAGCTAGCTTGCTAGGTAGTCGGTTTTGCAATATAACGGACTAATTAAGGGTACGTCTTATCTATTAATCCAACAATTTAATCATCTGTAGTGGCGAATTAATATAATGTAAAATGTCGTTGTATTTGCATATCGGGAGTTATCCTGATAGTGTAGCTTGCTAAAAAAAGGTGCTGCCATTGTTCACCCCATTCGTAGTTCATTATTCCGGTATACGTCGTGTGTTGCATCGTTTATTTTTACGTTATTTATGGCTACCTGGATAACAAGCACACGTAGTCTTTTTTTTCTAATAGTGTTACAAACGACTCCTCGATTTGCTGTTTAGCTAGGTGTGTTAACCCAAGTAAACCAAGTTTAATCAAGATGCACTGTAAGGATTTTATATAATACATTATTAGTGGTGGTGTCCTGTTTCGGTGAAGTTTTAGGGGAACATTTGAAAATGTTAACAAGTAGTTTCTGTTGACCGCTGATACCGGCATGGTCTGTGTCAGTTCTGGTTGTTCAGGGGGTTGGTAGCTAATTCCTGCTGAAAGGAGACTCGGCTGCAGTGTGGGATATTAATCGTGTTTTGGCAGATTCAATAGCTAGCCTGCTGGCGCGTTTTCTTAAAAAAGCTGTTTTAGTACTTCGGACGTGTGATACAGGGCATGCCTGCCGGCGCGCGGCGGAGTACGGAGCCGAGACGTGACGTTTCAGGTTGGCAGTCTCTAAGATCGCGCGTGTAAACACGGTCACGTGACTAGCCACGTGTAGCTACCGTCGTTCTGTGGTATTTAAAGGGAAATACCCCTATCGCCCCTAAGTGTCCAAATGTCACCTCTGCACTGTTCACGAACGGCGCACATTCAGATGGCGGATTGCGAGCAGAACGTTAAGTGGTTAGGCTTAATTTAAACAAAGTTGATTTCAGTGAGTATTTAGCGTAGCCTTCTTGACGTGCCCCGCTTGGTGACTGGCTACATTCAGCAGGACGGGTCGGTGAATCTGTCCGACGTACTTTATTTAGCTTGCACATAGTGCGATGTTGCGGCAATGTTTAGAGCCCTTTGTCTTTCAGTATAATGTAATGTAAAGTGAATGTGGAGCAAATTATTGCCACACAGGTGTACTGTAAACAAGCACGTATATATTGCAAACAAAATCAATGTATTGAAAGGTTTTTTTTCTGAATATATAGTGATACTTTATTTCTTTACGTTTCGCATTTTTCAGCACCCATTTTTCCTATGTATGCTGCACTTTGTAACGCTGCATTTTTCTTTGCGTCTCACTGTCTGGCCTCATTTTGACACGGTTTGGGCGGTGGGCGTGGCGAGTCTTACCCAATCTACCTGCCTAATTTGTATATTGCACGTCTGTGCATGCGCAGAATTGCCACTTTACATGTTTTACGACTGTGCACGATTTGTGCCTCTCTTTCACGACATTTTCACAACCCAACCTGATGTTACAAACATAGTTAATTGAATGGTTTGAACTACCGTTTTGGGAGACAATTGGATGGTTCCAACAATGTAAGTTGCTAATGTGCTTAGCAACTGCATTTTTGGGAAACGTACCTATGGTGCCTAAATCTTTTCATGCCATCAGGTTCGTTATACGGACTGCCTGTGAGCTTGCAATCTCCACCAGCCCAGACTGGGATATTCAGCCAGATATTCCGATTTTGGATTCTGTATTTTCTGTCTGTTCAATAAAAGTTATGCATAGCAACTGCCCTTGTGTCATAGTGCATGTTTATGGGTTTCTTCAGGTACCCCAGTCACGGCGGGGTGACCGTAAATGTCCCTGACGGTTGCCGGTGTTCTGTCGAAAAATACTACCTATCGAGACGTGCTATCGAGCCTTTCTGCGCATGTGCAGTTCCACCGTTTTGGGATTAGGGTTAGGTTTTAGGGATTAGGGTTAAGGTAAGGGTTTTGGGGGGGTTAGGGTAAGAGTTAGGGTTATCGATTACCACTATGGTAGCATAACTCGACAAAGTAGCTCATCTCGACAGAACACCGGGTTGCCAACTTTGGTCAGCTGGCTGGCGTGAGATTTTCAGTTCAAGTATGCACTCGCATTAACATGTTTGTAATAATTGCCCCAACGCTTTGGATGTAGCTAATTTAGGTTTACAATGGAATAATACATATTTGCAGCAAGATTTCTTGATAGTCTGAAAGCGTGAATGTCACACCAGATGCGTGAGAGTTGGCAACCCTGTAATGGAAATATATTTCAGATAAGCACATAAAAGGACAAACAAAACGCATTTCCCTGTTTTTTTAAGTGGAGTTATTAAAGGCAGTTTTCGCTCATGTTGTGGAAGAAAATATGTACGCACGGTACGTACGTCTGCGCATGCGCGGTATTTTCGACTTCGATTTTGGTTGCAATATATACATATTTTGTTTACCGTACGCACATTATTAGCGCTATGTGGCCCAGTTTAATATGTTAAATATGCAGACAGTGGGGTTTTGAACGCCTGATTTAAAGGCTTCAATACAAATGTGAAATGCTGACAATGCTTATACAAACATGCAAGATTCTCAATATGACTTGGGTCAAGACTCCTATCTTGGGGGGTCTTTGATGGAGTGACCGTGATGGCGGCATTCCAGAACAGTGGTGTATCTGTTAAACATGTAGATAGAAAATGCGGCATGAGTCGTAGTATTAACACTGACCAGGGGTCAATGAGGCCATTGTCATCCTCTTTCCCCTCTCAGAGAGCTTGTGATGTTTCTAAGAACTTGAGTGCCGAGTGCAATCTGAATGCAGAAGGAACCCCCCCACTGCCAGCCGGGTGAGTGAGAAAGAGAAAAAGAGAGGGAGCGGGGCAGGAAGTGAGGTCATCGCGTGCCAATGCAGCAGCAGAGCCGACTGGCTGATTCAGCAGAGGGCAGCCTTCCTGTGTTCGTCTTCCCCACGGAGCTGGTCTTCTATGCCGATGAGCAGGCCTCGCACAAGCAGGTGCTCACGCTGTACAACCCCTATGAGTTCGCCCTCAAGTTCAAAGGTCAGTGGGCGGTGCTTCAAGCCGCCACCCATCACCACTCAGCATGCTGCTATGCTGTTCCTGCTGTGTGGTTTGCCGGCTCCTTTTCCCCAGCTAATACTCTCAGGCAGCAACAAGTATCTTGTTGACACTCAAGTGGAGATAGACAGGCACGATGGAGTCCAACTGCGCAAGGGTTGGGGATACGTTTAGCATAGGGTCTGAAGCTCAAGCAGGACTCAAGTTACACACCAGAATTCCGCTGGCAGGAATGTAACACCCTGATGTGCACAGATGTAACACACCCAGGAGCTGCCACATGTCATGGCTAGACACTTCTCCCAATGTCCCTCTTCTTAGTACACTACCGCTGTGTATAAATGCTACCCAGAATAGGCCCTGCAGAAGCTTACAAGACACTGTGTTGGGACTATGGTTGCAAAATTCTGGGAACTTTCTCGTTAATTCCCATGGAAAGTTTTCACCATGGAATTCTTCCAAAATTCCCCTGCTTAACTTCCCACGGAATGGGAAGTTTCTGGAAAGTTTCAGCCCCTGTGCAACCCTGCTTGGGACTGACGTCTCTCCTTTCTTTTCCATCAGTGCTGTGCACGGCACCCAGCAAATATGCCGTGGTGGATGCCACGGGAGCCGTGAAGCCCCAGTGCTGCGTGGACATGTGAGTAGGGCTTCCAGATTATGCCAGAGGGTCCAGGCGGTCAGTCACACGGCTGCAGCTGGTGGCACAGGTGCTGCTGCTATCATGTTTGCCGCTGTACGGATATGTTTCCCAATGTGCATTTGACAGTAAAGCGATGGAACAAAAAGCTGGAAATTTTACAAAATCACTGACACTGAAAGCTTAGTATACCGAAGTATACTATGCAGTACTGTTTCAGGCAGTCAAAGAAATGGTGTTTAAATGATCATCTTGGTGCAAATCTGATATCTGTCAAAATGTGTTAGCTTCATAATTTCAAAATGTCCCTAAAAGTCACCATAATATTAGCAGTAATTATCCAGTGTACCCATGTATTTTTTGATTCAACCCCTAGCATACCTCGTAAGGCTATAATCAATACCTCACAGATTTTTTTTTTAACAAATTAAATTAAGTAATTTAGCTGGTGGTAAATTACAATGAGTACATGGAATGGCTGAGGTGCCCCTAAAGAGTTTTTATAGGTTTTCCTATAAAAAAAGTATTAATAGGTTTTTGAACTAAAGTGGTGTTCATCTGGCCATCCAATGAGACATCAGTAACTTTTTGGGGAACAGAAGAAATTCTGGTCAGTTTTTATTGAATTATTCTTAATTTGCATTTGTTGTGAACTTGAATTGTGTTGTTTTTTCTGAGCAAATATATACTTACTACTACTGGTAGCATTTTCTTTGACTGCCTGAGATTTTTGCATGGTATCGTTTAACCCTCTATGTTCTGAAATAATTGGTAGCTAATTACTTTCATGCACCATCACTATGAAATACTCATGTTGTTGATATGTTCCTCCTGGCCTTAACCTTGTTTTGTCTGTGTGAGAGATAAAGTGTTCAGATTCAGGCTTCAGCCTTTACTGCTGGCTGCGTAGCGGGTGAAAGTTTTGGCGGCCATCTTTCTCACCTCCACTAAATCACCCCCCTCCCCGGCAGAGTGATCCGGCACAGGGACGTGCGGCCGTGCCACTATGGCGTGATGGATAAGTTCCGCCTCCAGGTGTCAGAGCAGAGCCAACGCAAGGCCCTGGGCCGCAAGGAGGTGATGGCCACCCTGCTGCCCTCGGCCTCCCAGGAAGCCACGCAGCCCCGTTCTCAGGAAGAGGAGCACCGCATGAAGGAGCAGTTCGCCGACAGCGTCTTCTTTGAGCAGGCAGCCTATCAGACAGGTAGGGTGGGCCGATGGGGGTGTGGTCACACATGGGCCCCTCCCAAAACCATATTTTTCAAAACGCATGGAGATCGATTGGTTGCAAGCTAGAAGGTTATTTTTTTGATAGTGTGTGTTAAATAGCATTTGGAACATTAAGCATAAGCAAATCAAAAATACTGGTTTGGGATAAAAGGTCTGTGTGTAATGTGTGTAATAATCCAGATTTTACTTTTCTTGCTTAATGACTTGAATAAGGAATAATCCAGGGATATTTAATGCTGGGGTGGCACGGTGGTGCAGTGGTTAGCAGTGTTTCCTCACACCTATGGGACCAGGGTTTGAATCTCTGCCATGGCTCTGTGTGTGGAGTTTGCATGTTCTCCTCATGTCATTGTGGAGTTTGCATGTTCTCCTCATGTCATTGTGGAGTTTGCATGTTCTCCTCATGTCATTGTGGAGTTTGCATGTTCTCCTCATGTCATT